TTAGCCTCTACTACTACTACTACTGGTATTATGGAGGACCTTAGCCTACTACTACTACTACTACTACTGCTTCCTCTCATTTTTCTTATATGGAGGACCTTAGCCTGATACTACTACTACTACTGCTTCCTCTCATTTTATTTCTGTATTGCGGAGGACCTTAGCCTAAGACTACTACTACTACTACTGCTTCCTCTCAATTTTCTGTATTACGGAGGACCTTAGCCTGATACTACTACTACTACTACTACTACTACTGCTTCCTCTCATTTTTTCTGTATTACGGAGGACCTTAGCCATTCCCGTTTCCTCAGGTTCAAGATACGACCTCCTTGCACGGAATGACAACGCTGGCCGAGGCTATGATGTGGTAGCCTTCACTCCGTACCTCGCAAGGGTAATGATGATAGTCTAGATAACGTTGATAGCGATCAGCGAAACGTACGATTTGAAATATCTTTGGAAATAATTTTTGGATATCTAGATAAAAGAAATGGTCATTAAAACTGCTTTTAGAATCTAACAGCCTTATCTTTCTATCATTTCGTCTAGATAACGTTGATAGCGATCAGCGGAACGTAAGATCTTTCCCTTTGGCAATAATTTTTGGATATCCAGATAAAAGAAATGGTCATTAAAACTGCTTTTAGAATCTAACAGCCTTTTCTTCCTATCATTTCGTTCATCATGTAAAGCATTAATGTTCAATTTAACATTTCCAGGTCCGTATAGATATGACTCAGCGCCCGGACGACGTGGGCGAGTGGACACTGCAGTTCAGCCCATCTGATGAGTCGTCGGTCGTCATTTCAGCGCGCACGCCCATGGACATCATGCCTACCTTTTATACCCCTGACACCCTTGGCAATCACCCCTCTTTGCAAAGGGTAGCTGGGCAGCCAAGTAGAAGTAAGTTTGTACGTGTGTACGTGTTGTAGTTTTTTTTTTTTTTTTTTTTACTTATGCTTATGAGAATACTAATTTACATCCTGTTTATCCCTTGATTGCTGTACTTCCTGCGTTGTTGCCTCTCTACCTATCTAGTTTTTCAGATTCATCAGTCTATCAGCATGTTTATAGATTCGCCAATTTATCCTCCTCTTCGCCAATTATTAACATTTCGTACTATACTCTATGCTAGATAAATGCATGTTTTGTTTTCATCGACTGTAATGTAGGAAAAAATCATCATTATATCACCGACATCGTATTTCTCTGCCACAGGAGATCGTCTTCCCTCTGAAGATATTCTGCAACCCTTTATGACCTCTTTTCTCAGGTTCTGATACCTACCTGGACGTCGTCATCACCGGGGTCGACACCGCAAACCTCCGTCGTGTGGACAGAGCGTACCTGAAGGACTCCATGGGGAAGGAGGTCCTCGACCTGGACTTCCTCACCAAGAGCCCCAGGAGGAACACGTACCTGGCGTTCCCTTCCCGAAACCTACGGGCTGGGCGGTTTACGGTGGTTGTCACGGGCGTCGACGGGAGTGGTGAGTGCTTGGAGACTTCGTGCGCACACAAGGCACTGGGAATAGCATTCGAGTTGTTTCCATCCGGGTGAAGTTGATTTATATTTAGAGAACGGATATACAGATAAGTCGTGCAAATCAGAATTCGAATTATATTCATTCAGGTAAATTTGTTTAGCTGTTGGAGATTTTATACTTTTATTAATATTCAAACTGTTTCAGTCCAAGAGAACTGTATCGATGCTTGTTATGTTAATGCGCATATCATAAAGACCTGAATTTCACATCTGTAAACAGGACGTCCCTTCCGACGCGAGAGTGGGACGCAGTGGGACCTGGTGGATTCCTCGTTGGGCTTTCCCTTGGGGCGAGAGGTCTGGGGATCCCCCGGGGATAGCCTTCGGATACCTGTCGTCATTACGAACACCAATGCTGATAATATCGCACAGAGCACCTACTTTGTCAGTGCTTATGATGCTCTGGGCTCCACCGTGTCCCTTGACCAAAAGAGGTGAAGAGGAATGAATGTGTATAGTTATATTTACCAATATACTGACATGTGTAAATTTACCACATATCACACTGGAGCCAAACAGTATTTTCAAAACTTTTTTTTTCTCTCAAATCCTGTTTCAGAGTGACACTGGGACGGAACGAGTCGGTGGTTCTGACAGTGACAATGTTCGTGGATCCCTCAGTTCTTCCTTACACGACCAACACCCTGGTCGTCACAGCCATTTCCAACCGGGGCGACACCTCCCATACACAGGCACATCTCTCCGTTGTTCCGAAGGTGTGTCCCATAAATCCACCCTTTGGCTTTATCCAACTCGGCTTCTCTCTACTCCCCAGTCTCTTTGTTTGTAGCTAATTCTTCTCGTTGTTTGTCTGTCCGGCTTCCTTTCTCTCTTTCTTCTGCTCTTTCTGATATGAAAGCGAATATGCACGCCGCTGTATGGTAACGACGATTGCAATGATGATGAGATGATGATAATTACGTTAAGGATAATTATAATAATAATGGTA